TCTTCTTCTTACTCAAGACCGTTAGGTTTCGTGGCCAGCACGTTACAATTGAGCCACTGGATCGGAATACAATGGTCCGTATTTACTACTTTTCATAAATGGTACATTTTTACCATCTTTGTACTACAGATTTTTTCATATGCATAAGTTGGCTTTTGCCAACTTACGCCACCAGTGCCGACGCCGTTATATCCGATTGTCTATTAAGGGTCGCGTGTACTGCATCTGCACAGCAGTTCACTCTGTTCTACTCTATGGCTGTGAAACATGCCCATTGAAGGCGAAAGACCTGAGAATGCTTCAGGTGTTTAACTACCGTTGCCTTCGAAGTATAGGCCGTATTCCGTGGTGTCATCACGTGAGTAAGGCAGAAGTCAGGCGTAGAGTTTTAGGGAGAAGAGTTAAGTCAGTTGACACGGTTGTGAACCTTCATAGACTGAGATAGTTGGCTGGGACATGTGTTACTTATGCCTAGTCGCCGATTGCCTCATCACACAATGTTGGTCAAAGTACAGGCAGGAAAAAGGCTCGAGGTGGCCAGACTAAAACATGGCATGAATGTATGGAGTCTTTGGCTGTTTGTTTGAGTCATGTGAGGTGATGCAGACAAGGTGGTTGGGGTCCGCGGGACAAGAGGAACCAGTGGTTGGAGACTGTAGGTGATGTGGGTGAGAACCGATGTCAGTGATGCAGATGTATACGCACATTATTCTCATCTTAACGACGCTATACCGAATCTCACCATTTTCTCATTCCTTCTTTCGTTCTTTCAGTACTGACTGAACCTTCTTTTCTTTATCTTCCATTGCCTTCATTGCCTTTTTACTTGATGTAGTGATATGAGGTGTGGCAAATCGGCCCGTTACGCAGTAATGCCTGATCCTATGTTGATTTGGATGGATGGATACATCATATGCATAGAGAGACGGTGATTACGTTTACAGAATAAATAAGTTTAAGCTTTGTTATTACCTCAGGTTTAATCAACAGCTAAAAATATTAACCCTTTCTTTCTTTCTTTCTTTCAATTTCTTCTAATATTCCAAATTTCGTTATACCTTGTTTTAATAACCTAAGTGCCTTCATTTTGTTCCCATGATCCTTATTCAACTTGATCTCTATGTTACTAGGTTGCTGGTAAGAATCTTATCGTGGTACAGATTTACATTTCACCTCCAATCATCACCCACTAAAGAATAGGTAATGGAAAAGATAAGATGTGGTTGCAGCAAAGAAACTTTTTCTTTTCGACGAAGTTATTTACTACTAAGCTGGACATTCGTGAATATATGTTACAATGGGCTGAATAGTCCAGAATTATTTCCGGTTAGGGGGTAAAATATAATGAATAACTAAAGGAAGTTAATTAATATACATTTCGGTTAAGGGTGGGATAATATATGTGGAAATACATGTATATTTACCTAATACAAGATGAATCTGTGAGAGTCAAGGTTTTATGATGGCCATGGCAAAGATAAAGGTTGGATGTACCTTTTTTTGGACGCATAACGCTAATATGAAACTCTGGATGGCTAGTGCTGCAGCTATAGGCAAATACCTTGATCTTACTCCCTTCGAGTGGTTTGATTGAACCCTGTAGAGGAACTAAGTGGCCTGAGTTCACAAGGTTTCCTGTTACTGAAGTGAAAACACATTTGCGTTCTCCCTTTGCCATGCACGCTGGGTAGTATTCGCAGGCACGTTTTACAATCGGAAACATGGTACGGGCGATGCAATCAGCTCTACAAGAGCAAGCAAACACACACTGGTGTGTTCCTACTCTGACATTCATTCATCCTGTATTGTATAATTACATTTAGTTTCATAATCTCTTGTCTATTTTCGTACTCGAAACCTAAATGTGTATTAACTTCTTTTAGTTATTCAATATATTTTGCCCTCCAGGCGGAAATAATTCTGGAACGTTCTGCTCATTGTAACATATATTCACGAATGTACAGCTTAGTAGTAAATGACTTCGTCAAAAAGAGAAAAAGATTCTTCGCTGCAACCACGTCTTGTCAGTTCCTATGATCAAATCGGTGTATTCCGGTGAATAAGTAATGCTTGTAACTATCCAATGTAGCGTAACAGCAATACACAAAATTGTGATTGTACAGCTGTAGAGAAAAATATCCTTCGAAATAAAAACTTCATAGTTATCAAAGTGACCAGGAAAGTGGTATACTTCTAACCCTAAAATTGCAACGAACTGTGAAAATAACAAACAAAGCGTTCTGGGTGTTCACTTGATACAGTAAAATAAAACCAACAAAATTTAGGCACTGACGCCGAAGAATGCAAATATGTGCCCCACAGTTGTAATATTCAATAAACATTATCAATCTTTGATGTGAACTGGTGTCAGAATGCGTGGGATTTATAGATCTACACTCACTATAGAACAATAAATAACGAACGATACTTGCAAGTTCATTCAGCATTTTTAACAACTAATTTAAAGCAAAACATAAGACGCATAACCATGAGAACATCAGCTTCAAGATTTATTTTTCTCACGGCAAAAATGTAATACATAACCGCAAAACGTTAGTTTCTCTTAAAGGCAAACAAATACACAATTTGAAGTATCCTTGACTTCAAAGGGATGCACCTACCCTTGGAGGTCACTTCCTTGACAAGTATGTCCAGCCAGGTTAAGATGACAAAAAGCAGCCTTTTCCGAACGTGTTGAACATATCTTACGCAATCATCAAAAATAAGGTGATGAGACAAGTTTACTTTGCTTCAAGTGACGAAATATGTCCACTGCTCCACTTAATTCAGGAGTTGCATCAGCTCGAACTGGCTGGTTCCTGACGAAATCTCAGCATGAACACAAAGTGCGTTTGGCATTTACCAACTGGCGTCATCTGTGGCACTGACTAGAGAGATATCCAACTACCTGTTAAACGATGAGTATACTGCACCGTAGTTCATTCTGTCCTATTATCCGCCTGTGAGACATATCCACTAAAGGTAGAAGATATGAAACAGTTACAGGTTTTCGATCATAGATATCTTGTTAGTATTGCTTACGTATGGTGGATTCACAACATCATATGAGGAATGTTGACGTCAGGCGAAGGGTATTAGGCAAGATAGGCTAGTCGATTGATGAGGATGTGAAACTTCATCGACTGACATGGCTTAGTCGTATGTTGCATATGCTGATTCATCGCCTCCCTCGACGTGCCTTGCTGAGAGAAGTTGGAAGAGGGTTCAGAGTGACTAGACCAAGACCTGGCACCAATGCATACATACAGTCTGTGACTGTTGTTCTCAACTGTGTAAAGAGATTTAGACTACATGGTTGGCGTCCTCGAGGTGGCAGGAATCAGTGGTTGGTGACGTGGCTGAAAATTGGTCACAATGGTACGGATATATTCATGTTTTCACTTCTGGAGCTTGAATGTTTTGACTCACCTTAATTTTTAAATTCCCTCTTCTCCTATTCACTTTTGCATACATTGATATCACTCCTTTTTCTATCCACTCGCTCTTCGTCTACTACTGTGAAGTATGGCCACTTGAACGGTTCAAGGTTCTACGTTTATTTTGTTTGCTTATCTGCTTTGGCTAATGAAGCGATGGGTACTAGGTCCAAGTTACAATGGGAATTTCATCACTCACTGGCGTGCAGGGAGATCTATTCGACGATTCCCGAATAGGAAGAAACGTACATCCTGTATTCCACTTCTAGCCAACGAGTTGACTAGAATACAATTGACTTTAGCCTTTCATCATAACTAATCAGCACTATAAAACTCCTTCCTTGTCGTTCGTAATCATTTACTCTCGTAGATATCTGATTTTAGCCATATGGGAAGATGTAGACCGTTTTGTTGGAGTCTCCGAGATAAAAGGAATCAGTAGTTGAGGCCACTTAGTGACATGGCTGAAAATCGGTCACGATGGTGCATATGTATTCACGCCTTGGTATCTTGTAAAGTTTGAATATTCGCACTAACCTTTATCTTCAGATTGTTTATTCTCTTACACTACTTTACGTACTTTAATATCACTCCTTTCCTATCCACCTATTCTTTGTGTACTTCTGTGAAGTGTGACAACTTGAGCCGATGCAGTTGTGTGCGAGGTTCTACGTTGATTATGTCAGTCATCTAGTATTATAGAAGATATAGTATCACCTGCATAATTTTTAACTATAATAACGATTGACTGTCAGACGAGCTCAATGGTAATGTGCTATCCGCGAAACCTGAAGGTCGTGGATCCGATCCCTGACAGAGTCATGAGTGTGTACTGCTAAGAAGTCATTCTAGGGGAGGGGGGACAGCTGTCCATTGGTACCACCAGTCTTTCAATGGTTCTCAAACTAATGTCAGTTCATGATGAATGCCTCCTTGGAGTCACATTCCCGTTTACTACTGTTAGCTACAAATTCTGTGATGGTCAGTTCCCGACAAATTGCTACTACCTTGACGTGGTGGTAATGAATGCATATCGCAATGAGCAAAAGCGCCCTGCTGGTGAAACGCTTGTGCTTTTAAGGTCCTACAATCCTACAAAGGTCTGTTAGATAGTGATAAGATGAAAAGCAGTTACTGTTATAGCGTTAATTTTTACCCTTTGATGAAGGGTTCGAGGCGTCAATAAGAACCAGTCTTATACGGTGTGGGCAGCAGCCAGGGACCGTCGACCAACCTCATACCTGTCAGCATTGAAGTTCCCTTAGATCACCATTTATCTTTGACATCCCCAACTTCTAGTCTTCCTTCATCTCTCTCGGTCAATAATCCTACATTATCTTTGATTTGTTTTAGCTCTGCAGCTCTTGACAGCTTTTCACGTTGTCGAAGAAAACTAGATGACGATATGAAATTCTTATAGTATTTTTGTTTGAAACTAGAATCGTAGTTTGATAAAAGTCGTATGCATTAATGATTGTAGTAAAAAAATCTACTGGAATTAGACAGTACAATACATTTGAAAAAGAGATAAAAAGTCTTTGGTATATGTATTTAAAGATAGGTTTAAAATTTATTAGGGCTTACTTTAACAAAACTCAGACGTTTGCTAGTTACTAAAGGTCTTTTTGGTCTGCCAGAGAACGGATACGTCGTCGTCGTTCGACTCGCTTCAAAGTCAATCACCTCACCGACAACATAATTGACGCCCATAAAATGACACTTTGTTTTCAATGCTCTAAGTAGACTCAAAGGATCAAACCATCCTTCATTTTCATAGCCTGAAAAAAAGTGATCAACAATTGCTTTTATTAAAAATAGCTTTGCCTTATTCATGATGATACAGATATTTTCTCATTTTATTGTTGGTCAAAGTTTCATTTTAGCATGAGTCAATGGAAAGCTTAGTGATGCCTTTGAAGTGAAGACAGGTTGACGTGTAAGACAAGGTTGTCGCCTACTATCACCTATCATCTTCCTGATTGTAGTCAACTCGACTCGACTCGACTCGACTGAACTGGATCATGCAACAAACTGTGAAGAGCTGTGAGAAGATGGGCATATACTAGCTGGAGTGATGGAAAGATTCCAGAAGAAGATTTGGATTTCGCCAACGATGATCATTTATATCACATATCTTGTCGCACAAACTCGAAGATGTACACAGGTGGAAACTAACAAAAGTTGGCAGAAGAGGCGATGTGAGGTGAGGCAGTGAAGACGCCACCTCCTTCACGTGAACGTAGAGAAGACACAGGTGATGAAGATACCCAACCAACCGACAACAACAAGCACCAATCATCATCAATGGGAGAAATCTAAAGTAAGTTCTCTCTTTCACCTACCTACCTACCTATCTAGGCAGCATCGTTTCAACTACAGGCGGCGGCACACATGATGATGTCAAAGCCAGCATCGGAAAGACAACAAGACAAGCCTTCCTGCATTAATCTGAAATAATCAGTGTGGAGATCTACTGCACTCACCATAAAGCGTGAACAAGATCCGGAGTTTCAACACTAAGTCAGTCAAGTAAGTCAGCGATTCTATGTATGTGATGGTTGAGAGACTTGGCGCCTTACGAAAAGCATTTCCAACAAACTGCAGACGTACATCATCAACAACTGCCGCCTACGCCCGCTCGCTGGATACTGAAGATTAGATCAGATGACCAGAATATTAAGAATGAGCAACAAGGAACTCACCGTGGCTGTCTGTCAACGAACCAACCGACCAAGAACCTATCGCCAAACAAATATACAGAAGAATAAAGTAGAGATGGATTGGATTTGACATACACTGAGGAGACCGATTGGGGACATGACGCATCAGGCCAGACCCTCAAGTGGAACCCAAATTGGAAACGACGAGTTGGGCGTCTGATGGTGACATGGAGGAGATGGTGTGGGGAAGAAATGATAGCTTATGGGCAGTGGTGGAGCAAGGTTAAAACGACTGCAGAGAAGAGAGTAGGATGGTGACGCGCTACTGAAGTTATATGCTCCACTAGGAATCCAAGGGACAATTAATAACACGTTTATGAAATAAAAGTAGCTGGTTACATGTCCTCTTCATCTGCTGAAGTTTGGGTATCCAGATGGTTTAGTTAACCATTACACTACCAATAATAACACAGGATCAGGGATTAGTGCATAGCAGTCTAAGCTGCCACACTTCATATCAGCGCATCAAGTGAGAAAGGGTTAAGATGAAAGACAAGGAAGTAAAGAAGAAGAAAGAGGTCAACAGTGACACAAAATAGCAAAAAAAAGAGGAAGTAGAAATACGGAAATACTGGATTCAGTATGATGATTAAGATACGAAGAATAATGTATGGATATACCTGAGCCATTGAGATCGATTCCGAGTCACATATCACTTAGATTCAGTCTCCAACCACTGGTTTCTCTTGTCACAGCGATCTCAACCGTGAAGTCTGCATTTCTTTACACGACCCAGACCAACAATCAAAGGCCTTGTGGACTGGCCACGGCTAATCCTTTTTTAGCCTAAACATAATTCAGCCAACATTGTGCGACGAGGCAGCCACCTGAATTGATGAATGTTCATAAGCTTATTAACTGACTTCGCTCTTCTCTCTCAAATTCTACATCTGAATTCTGGCTTACTGACATAGTAACACCATAATAGTGGATCTATGGTACTGAGGCAACGGTGGTCGAACACTTGAAGCCATGTTTCATATTTATACAACAGAACAGAGTAAATTGAGTGCACTGCACTCAACCCTTAATAACAGAAAATCGGATATCTGCGCAGAGATTTAATCGACTACTGACACACTAGGGATGACTCTACTTCTCAGGTAAGTTAAGTGATCACTGAGTTCAGTCGCTTCCCTTTCTGTTTTTTAACAGAGTAGCACTGAAAACTAGTCTTGGAGCGACAATTTGCATTTCGGTGACGAGAAACGCATCCTAAACATCCATATATATTGCCACCCAAGGTGCCCATAAGGCTGCATGTTGTCAACGTCTTTATCTAACAAGACTATCATTTGTGTACTCTAGATCTAGCAAGGATTCTCCTGTGATTAGATTAATCGCTATGAAGTTAGACGATGAGAGGGAAACATCCACAAGTATGTCTATGAAAAAATGGGACAAGAATATAGACAGTGAACATCCTTGGCAGATACAACTCGACGTACACAACTTACCTAATAACTTACCATCGGCTCTAACACGCCCATGGTTGTTCAAGTACAAAGCCTTCAACAGAGTTGTGTATTTACTCGACACTCCCTTGAGTGAGAGACACTGCCATAAGACCTTTCGGTCGACAAAGTATAATATCGCCTTCAGGTCGAGAAATACAACCACTTTAGGATGTCGGTAAGTGCGCCTTTGCTCCAGAACCTGGGAGAGTGTGAATATCTGGTCAATACATCCACAGCCAGGGTTGAATCCTAGTTAGTCTTCTCGGGTTCTCAATTCTCGAGCTCCACTCAGACGTCTAATGATAGTTGGATCTACAATCTTAGACATTACGTTCGTCAAACTGACTCCCCTGTGGTTATCACAAGAGGACTTCTCGCATTTCTTGAAGACCGGGACAATCAGTAATTGAAACCAGTCAGAGAGGATCATATCTAACTTCCACACGCTAGCTAACACTTCAGCTAACTTGAACAACAATCTGCTGCTACCATCCATAAATACCTCTAGTGCTACTTCAGCTGGCCCTAATGCTTTTCCTCGTTTCAGGTTACCTACACCTTTCCCGACTTCTGTAAGTATCGGGAGGCCCATCTCAATGTTATATTCAGGATCCAACTGAACAGAGGGCGATGCGATAGTAGCTAAAAGTCAATTGAACTGTCCGTCGAAGTGTTCTGCCCATCGTTTCAGTAATCTCCCCTGAAAGTGAATCACAGACCTTCTTTGTCACAGTCTCATTAACCACTGGCCTTTTCGTCCCATTTTCCTTAATAGGTCTAAATAACTGTCTATCGTTACCTGTCAGCACTGCCTTTTCCATCTTCTTAGTCTTCGCTAACCGCCCCTGTTCGTCGTCATTGCGTAGACTTTTTGTCAGTCTACATTTGAGTTAGTCCCGCTACTTATTGTAATGGAAGCCTTCAGGGATGTGTTCGTGTGAATCCACTAGTTTCGAAGAAGCTGCTGAGATCCATTGGTTGTTTTTAACCACTCTCTGAGAGTCGGATATAGTCTTCAACGCTTCTTTAACAGCAGACTAAAGATGGCGCCAGGCTTTTGGATTAGTGATGATAACTGTTAAGTCAGCTTCTCACTGAAAGAGGCCTTAGTGTTCTCATTGTTGAGCTGAACTCGTAATGGCTTTGTTATCATAGTTTTTATACATCCATTTACAGGCAGATATATGCGAGCTCGGAACAATACACGGTTGCTGTCTAAACACGTGCTCCAAAAACAGCGGCAATCTTACAACGACCCTATTCAGCGACAAGCGATAGCAATACTGTCTACCCGTGTCCAACTCTGGCTTACGCTTGTTGGACGCCACGTCAGACAATGTCTCTCTTTATGTCCAAAGTTCGTGCTGGCTAGAAATAAATGACTGTTTGAGCACAGTTGTGGAAGGCGATTGCCGTTATCTGTTAGTTCGGTTGGGATTCTAAAAGTGCCACCTAAGTGCCTTTCTATCTGAATTGGCCTACACCCGCAACAATAACCGCATTCGAAAGTCTGGCTTTCATCAGTAGGCTAGATAGTTTTCGGTATAACTTATCCTTCATTTCATCCAAATTGAAGTTTGTGGGTACGTAAGCAGACGTTACAAAAAGACAACGGTGAGTTTCACTATTCTTTTTATACTTTAATGTACCGTTCAGTGAAAAAGCACGAGCACGACTGTCAACCGAGCAGTTCACTTTCTGCCCCTCGTACCAAAACCTACAAGACCACAAGAAGTAGGCATTAGATTTTCAGAAACTAGAAGAGCAAATTTCGCCTATTCGCCATATTGACCAGGTAAGGTAAAGTGAATAGGTACACCTGGGACACGTATTTGTGTTTCATCCCCAACGCAGCAAACATCAATGACCGGAGATGCCAGTTTCCGTTGGCGACACTAGGCCGATTTGACCGCGGGTGTAGACGTTGAAAGCCCCAACGCGCAGTTTCAGGACACCAAAGATGCTATCACATGAACTCAGATAATTTTCAAGAGCTGCAGAGCTAAAACAAATCAAAGATAATGTAGGATTATTGACCGAGAGAGATGAAGGAAGACTAGAAGTTGGGGATGTCAAAGATAAATGGTGATCTAAGGGAACTTCAATGCTGACAGGTATGAGGTTGGTCGACGGTCCCTGGCTGCTGCCCACACCGTATAAGACTGGTTCTTATTGACGCCTCGAACCCTTCATCAAAGGGTAAAAATTAACGCTATAACAGTAACTGCTTTTCATCTTATCACTATCTAACAGACCTTTGTAGGATTGTAGGACCTTAAAAGCACAAGCGTTTCACCAGCAGGGCGCTTTTGCTCATTGCGATATGCATTCATTACCACCACGTCAAGGTAGTAGCAATTTGTCGGGAACTGACCATCACAGAATTTGTAGCTAACAGTAGTAAACGGGAATGTGACTCCAAGGAGGCATTCATCATGAACTGACATTAGTTTGAGAACCATTGAAAGACTGGTGGTACCAATGGACAGCTGTCCCCCCTCCCCTAGAATGACTTCTTAGCAGTACACACTCATGACTCTGTCAGGGATCGGATCCACGACCTTCAGGTTTCGCGGATAGCACATTACCATTGAGCTCGTC